GTGCTCAGTGTCCCGCTGCCGGGCTCACCTGCAGCTCCTCCAGCATGGGCCGGGTGAAGAGGCCGCGCTGCTCCAGCGGGTCCCAGAGCGGCTCCACCCGCAGCGCGCCCACCAGCCGGGCCCGTCCGCGCCGCAGCGCCCGCCGCTGCTGCTCCTCCATGACCCCGGAGCCCGGGGCGCTGCCGGAGCCGCCGTTCTGTCCGGGAGCCGCCGCCGGCTCTTCCCGGAGCCGCTGCTCAATCCCCGGAGCCGCCGCTCAAACCCCGGAGCCGCCGGTCAATCCCCGGAGTCCCGAGTCAATCCCCGGAGTCTCCGGTCAATCCCCAGAGCCGCCGCTCTGCCGAGGAGCCACCGTTCTGTCCCGGACCCGTCGACGCTCTCTGCCCCCCGAGCCGCCGCTCAATCCCCGAACCCGCCGCCGCTCAAACCCCGGAGCCGCCGCTCAATCCCCGGAGCCACCGTTCTGTCCCGGAGCCGCCGCTCAATCCCCGGAGCCGCCGCTCTCTTCCCTGAACCGCCGCTCTCTTCCCTGAACCGCCGCTCCGCCCCGGAATCGCCGGGCTCGCTGCCCGGAAGCGCCGCCGCCGCCTCCGAGTCCCAGAATCACACACGGAGCCAGGCTGAAAGGGACCTGGGGTGGTCCAGAAGGGTCATCGCAGAGCGCACGAAACAGGATTCCTGTCCTTAGGTGTTTTGGTTGGTTTGGTTTTTTTTTAATATCTCCACTCCACACCCTCTCCGGGCAGTGTGTCACCCGCACAGGAAAGAAGTTCTTCCTCATGTTCAGATAGAACTTCCTGTGCATCAGTTCCTCCCCTTCCTCATGTGCCATTCCTGSGATCCACAGARCAGAGYCCTCCCTGCAGACAGGGACACGCAGGGCTGATGACCTCTCTGGGTTGGGGCTCTTCTCGAGGCTGAGCAGCCCCAGYTCCCTCAGCCTTTCCTGGGCAGGGAGATGCTCCAGYCCCTTCCTCATCTCTGCAGCCTCCGCCGGCCCCGCTCCAGGAGCTCCCTGTCCCTCCKGTCCTGAGGAGCCCAGAACTGGACACAGCACTCCAGGTGTGCCCCACAGGGCTGGGCAGAGGGGCAGGGTCACTCCCTGGCCTGCTGGCAATGCCCTTCCTRATGTCCCCAGGATCCCACTGRCCTCCTGGCCCCCAGGTCACTGCTGGGCAGGGACARCTCACTGACCATGGGACCCCCAGGTCCTTCCCCMCAGAGCTGCTCCAGCAGCTCAYCCCCAGCCTGTGCTGGTTGTTCCTCCCCAGGGACRGGACCTGCTTTTGCCCTTGCTGAGCCTCATTAGGTTTCTCTCTGCCCAATTCTCYAGCCTCTCGAAGTGCCTGTGGAATCTCAAAGTCCCTCGTGGAATGAGAAGGAGAGTCAAAGTAAAACTTGTGTGTTGAGATAACAATAGTTTATTAGCTGAAAATAGAAGTAAAATCCGGTAATAATGCTAAATGATAATAACAGCAATAATAATAATAATGATGATGATAATAATAATAATAATAATAATGGGGAAAACAAGTGATGCACAATGCAGTTGCTCACCACCCATTGACTGATACAATAATAATAATAAAGGGGAAAAGAAGTGCGCAATACAGTTGTTCACCACCCACTGACAGATGCAATAATAATAATAATAGTAATAATAATAGGGAAAACAAGTGATGAAAAAATAGCTGCTCATGACCCACTGACTGATGCCAGAYCCCCCTTCCCAAACCCACAGTAACTCCGCCCAGTATATTCTATGGTGTGGAATATCCCTTTAGCCAGTTCAGGTCACCTGTCCCATCTGTGCTCCCTCCCAATTTCCTTTGTGAACCTCCTCACCACCAGAGCATGAGGCAAGAAAAAACTCGACTTTGCATAAACACAACTTAGCAAAAAACCAAAACAGAATCACAGAACATGCTGAGTTGGAAAGGACCCACAAGGATCATCGAGTTCAAGTCCTGTCCTGCACGGGACACCCCAAGATTCACATCATGTGCTTAAAAGTGTTGTCCAAATGCTCCTTGAACTTAGACAGGCTCAGTGCTGTGCCCATTCCCTGGGGGTTCAGTGCCCGAGCACCCTCTGGGAGAATCTTTTCCTAATCTCCAACCCAAACCTCCCTGGCACAACTTCAGGCAATTCCCTCGGGTCCTATCACTGTCACCAAAGCAGAGAGCAGTGTCTGTCTCTCCTCCTCCCCACAGGAGGAAGCTGTAACCGGGTTGAGTCTCCTCTCAGCCTCCTCCAACTGAGCACACCAAGTGCCCTCAGCCRCTCCCCTTCCCCTCAAGGCCCTTCACCATATTCACTGCCCTCTTTCGGACGCTAACACCTTAATATCCCTCCTACATTGCGGTGCCCAAACCTGCCCTCAGGTTTGAGGGCACCACAAAACCAAACCTGCCCTCAATCCCGCAGCTGAGGCCGCCGCTGTGCTGAGCAGAGCGGGACMATCCCCTCCCTGGCCCGATGCCCCCCAGCACACGTCTGGCGCTCCGAGCTGCCACCATTCCCCTTCCCACCCCAACCCGCAGCGCTGCCGCAGCTCCGGAGCCGGCATAGCCGTCCTGCAGGGCCTCCCCTCAGAGCAGCTCCGGAGCCGGCATAGCCGCCCTGCAGGGCCTCCCCTCGGAGCAGCTCCGGAGCCGGCATAGCCGCCCTGCAGGGCCTCCCCTCGGAGCAGCTCCGGAGCCGGCACAGCCGCCCTGCAGGGCCTCCCCTCGGAGCAGCTCCGGAGCCGGCACAGCCGCCCTGCAGGGCCTCCCCTCGGAGCAGCTCCGGAGCCGGCATAGCCGCCCTGCAGGGCCTCCCCTCGGAGCAGCTCCGCCGCAGCCGCGCTCCCCGGAAGCGCTCGGTCTCCATGGGGACGGCGGGCGGGCGCGGCGGAAGCGGCGGCGCTGGCTGAGGGAGGGCGGCCCGTCCGCTCCCTCCGCCCGCGGGGCCCCGCCGGACCATGGAGCCGGGAGGACGGGCCGCCTGCATGCTGCTGTTCCTGCTCCTGCTGCTGCCGGYGCTGGCGGCGGCCGCGCCGGGAGAGTTCGACCCGTACCGCGTGCTGGGGGTCGGCCGGAGCTCCAGCCAGGCCGACATCAAGAAGGCCTACAAACGGCTCGCCCGGGAATGGTACGTGCTGCCCTGCCACCATCTCCGCCGGTCCCAGGAGCGGATCCCGGCGGCGGCTCGGTGACAGCGCCAGGCTTTTCGGCTCTGGTGGCATTGGCCGCCTCGTCTGGTGTGAGCCCCGGCTTGCTGGCAGGCCGGGAATCAGCCTGGAACACTGAGGTGCTCCAAGCCAGCGATCCGTGCTGTAAAACCCTCTGGAGCCTGGCTGCGCGGGGAGAAGTTAGCTCAGAGCCTGCTTATGGGGGGGAAAAGTTCTCCCAGAATCAGGCTRCAGGGAGAAAAGTTCTCCCAGAGTGTGGCTGGGGGGAGTCGGGGGTGTGAAATTCTCCCTGAGTCTGGGTGGTGAGGGGAAAAGTTCTCCTGGAATCTGGCTACGGAGGGGAAGGTTCTCCTGGAGTGTGGCTGTGAGGGGAAAATTCTCACTAAGTCTGGCTACAGGGAAAAGTCGTTCCTGACTTTTGTAATCCCTGGTTACAAAGGGACAAGTCGTTCCTGACTTTTGTAATCCCTGGTTACAAAGGGATGAATTTGTCCCAGAATCAGGCTACAGGGAGAAAAGTTCTCCCAGAGTCTGACTGTGGGGGAAGAGTTCTTCCAGGCTATGAGGGGGACTCCACTTTCTACTGGAGTCTGGCTACAAGGAGAAAAAGTTCTCTCAGAGTCAAGTGATGGGGAGGGKAAATTCTCTTGGAGTCTGGCTGTGGGGAGAAAAACTTCTCCCTGGGAACTTTTAATACACCRGGGTTGAAGTTTCAGCTTGATAGAYTGATGTTCAAGGGCAGTTGAATGAATCTCTATGCTGTGGAAGGGAAATGTGCTGGAAGCATAAATGTCACTCCCCTCATGCGGGTGGTGCGTGGTGAGGGGCAGGCTTAAGGTACAGCAATAAAATGAGTGAAATAGGCTTACCTGGAGCTTTGAGAGCCCATGTTGYTCTGTGTGAGACATCCCTGAGGCCATGGCAGTAGGTGATTTAAGGAAGAACCCAGTAATTATGTAGGGCAGCAGCCAAGGGAGGCATTGCAAGGGAAGTTACACGCTCTGAGTGCTGGGCTCAGGCTGCTGGGGATGGAGCAGACAGAGGGACAGGTCCACAGGCACACAGCACACATCCCAGTGCTGCCTTTTGGGACAGGCTTTGGGCAGGGACAGGGACAGTCTGATCTCAGCCTTGGGGATGTCACTGCACACCCTCACTGCCCATGTCCTCACCTCCAGAGGCCAATGGTTCCCCGTACCCCCACTGACTTCTCTTCCTCTGGTTCTGCCCCACAGGCAYCCTGACAAAAACAAGGACCCGGGAGCAGAGGACAAATTCATCCAGATTAGCAAGGCCTACGAGGTAACACATGCTTCCTATAAACTCTTTGTACTGTTAACATTAAGTGACCTTATTTTTCCATACATGGCTTTGTGCTTTTCTTGTGTATTTCTATATGGTAAAGGTGCTTGACCCYGTGGAGGTGGACATTACCCACCCAGAAAGTTTGCTCAGTTTTGTTGGTAGAGCCACTGAAGTCACCAGCATGGTTTCTGCTGCAAATATTTTGCTGCGGGTCTGCCCTGTTCTGGCTAAAGAGCCTCAGAGGAGGAAGGAGTGGACATTCCCCAGGCCCTGCCCAGCTGGGCAGCATCTCAACTCTGTCAYACATACATAAAAGCATTTTGGGGTTATGTAAGCAACATTAATCATCACAGGGCTTTGGTCACCTCAAATTATTTTCAGCAGTAGTTACTTGCATGTTGTTCTGGAGATTGGTTGCCCCAGTTTGTGGCAGCCGAGCGCACGGAAATCAAAATAAATCCTTATTTCCCTGCTAAAAAATGTAGCTTCTCTGCAGGGCCTCTGGCTGCTCAGTGAAACTTTTGGCACTTTCCAGAGTCAAAGAGACACCAGCAAAAGCCGCTCCACAAAAGAGTGTTTGTGCTCAGAATACAGGATGTTCAGATCCAAGGAGCTGTTGGTGACAGAAGTGGGCACAGCAAACTGGACTTAGGGCCTCCTTTTCTTTGGGCTTTGAGGGTTTTTTATCCTGATTTACTGCAGTGAGCCTAGAGGGTTGTGATGCTTTTTTTTTTTCCAAAATACTTATCCCTGTAACATGCAGCAAAGGCTGCACATTCCTTATGTTATTTATTGAGGGACTACTGTCAGGGCACTTCCCTCTCATGRATTCAGGCAATCATTTTTCAATCATTTGCTTCCTAGATTCTCTCCAACGAGGAAAAGAGGGCAAACTTTGATCGCTACGGAGATGCYGGGGAAAGCCAGGGATTCTCTCAGCAGCAGCATCGCCAGTTCCATCGCTTCCACGATGGYTTCTATTTTGACGAGTCCTTCTTCCATTTCCCGTTCAATTCGGAGAGGCGTGACACCTCTGACGAGAAGTATTTGCTGCACTTTTCCCACTACATCAATGAAATCGTGCCAGATAGTTTCAAGAAACCTTACCTCATTAAAATCACCTCAGACTGGTGCTTCAGCTGCATCCACATCGAGCCCGTGTGGAAGGAAGTTGCTCAGGAATTGGAGGTGCTGGGTAAGGATGAAGTTGTTGAGGTTGGGTGTGTGTCCCTCGCCCAGTGAGGCTGCAGTGGTTGCCTTTGGGTTTGTGTGACCCAGTTTAACCTGTGGATTTCCTCAGGGGTTTACCCTAACGCTTTCCCAAACATTCCTAACTCCAAAGCCGGGTGCTGGGCAAAGGAGAAGAGCATTAATTTTCCACAGGGCATTTGTGTTGCTGGGGATCTTTSAGGTGAAGCCACTGCTCTCGTTTTCCAGGAGCAGGAATCGGCGTCGTTCACGCAGGGTACGAACGACGCCTCGCCCATCACCTGGGTGCCCACAGCACCCCGACMCTGCTGGGGCTCATTAACGGGAAAATAACCTTCTTCCACAACGCTGTGGTCCGGGAAAACCTGCGGCAATTTGTGGAGAACCTTCTGCCAGGGAATCTTGTTGAAAAGGTACGTTCTAGCAGGGCTGTCAGATGCTGCTTCTCCTCTCTGCCTGGAGATCCCTCCTTCCTTGGCTGTTTCGGTAGTTAATCTGTTTAATTCGGGCTCCAAGCTGATCTGTGTCACGAAGCTCCAAACCCTGGAGCTGTCGGATGTGATCCCACMCTGCAGCTCCTTAACACTTCTTGAAAAGGGCTGATGCTGCTACTGCAYGGTCACAGCAGTGACTTCTAGTGCTGGCTGCTCCCAGCTGTGACACCCCACTGCTGCCAGAGCCCTATCCAAGTTATCCCTASAACAGGAACCTGCTGGATTTCTCATCCCTGCTCCTTTTTCAGCAATTCAAATAGGGACCACTCACTACCTCATATATCACATCTGCTAAAACTCACTGACACAGAGTCCCATTTGTTTTGTCCAGTTTTCCATCAGACTGTTGAAACTGGCTCTGGCAGCATATGCCCTTCCAAAGTTATAAGTAAAACCACCTAACTGATAAAATATTCCTGCATTTCAGCCTTCCAGTGGGTTTTGGCAGAGTCCTAAGGCACCCACCSCCCCTTTCAGTGATGTAGCTGGGTCAGCCCCCACAACACTCTCACCTGCCTGGCCTCTGCTTGTGGCCTTGKTCACCTCACCTAATTTTCCCTTGGGATCTTCACCAAGGGCCACCTTCCCTGACAGACTCTTGACTAGTCTTGTGGCTATTGGAATTATTGGATTTCTCACCCCAAAAATAGTATCCATTGCCCCTTGTACAGTAAATGCAGCCATTTAWGTCCTTTCTCTAGGTCTGAGAGATACACACCTGAAACAGAGCAGATTTGATGGAGCTCTCAGGTGCCTTTTAACCCTTGGYTTCCAATTTTATATACATATTTAAAGAATATGGTCCCCACAAACAGGAGAATAACAGTGCTGTTGGCATTGATTTGAAATAGGCATTGACAGAGGCTGCAATAACTACAAGGGCTGAGGGAGGTCAAGAGTGATGGTTTTAATTCATTCATTAATCARGAATACCTGCTGGAAAGACCTTCCTGTAACACCTGGACGGCCTTTTCAGGCTCAGTCCTCATTCAGACACCATTGTAGAGCATTGCCAATGTCTGACAGATCAGAGATTCTGATCAAAGTAACATTCTGATTCTGTCTAAAGATTACAGATAAAAACTACATCCGCTTTCTGTCCGACTGGAGGAAAGACAACAAGCCCCACGTGCTGCTGTTTGATCACATGCCAGTTGTGCCGTTGTTATACAAGGTAAGGCCATTTCTCTCACTGCCTTGGTGACTTGCTTATAAATCCAGATGTTCCAAAAGAAAACATGCCACCGCTGTGAGCAGAGGTGRAAGGTGGACTGATGCCTCCAGACACCACTGGGTGTTTCTAGGAGAGCCCGGTGATGTTTGCTGGTTGGAAATGGCGTGGCCTATGTGATTGGCTTTGTTAGGAGTCTGTTTATTTGTCCTGACACAGTTCCCCTTCAYGGGTGTGCTTCAGAGGTAGCAGCAACACAGGTGCATACCTTCGTTGGGAATGAGAGATGTTTGTAGCATGTCTCATTTAGATTACTGAAAATCCCATTTCCTAAGAAGCCCCTGCTGCCCTACAACATGTCAGGCTGTAAATAGAGCTGTGGATCCGTGGAGCTCCTGGCACAATGACTGAGAGGATGGAAAATACGGTTCAGTGGGGGAGAGTAGAGGCTTGTACCTCGCACAGCACATCCAATGTCACCACGAGCACTCGGGGGAGAGGATGCTCCCTCTCTAATATAAACTTGTCCTGGGAATTTCCTCCCACCCAGCTGACAGCCTTTGCCTACCGAGATTACCTGTCCTTYGGGTACGTGTACGTTGGACTGCGAGGCACTGAAGAGTTGTCCAGTCAGTACAACATCAAYGTCTACACTCCCACCATGATGATCTTCAAGGAGCACATCGACCGGCCTGCTGATGTTGTGCAGGTACTGCTCAGAGCCCTCTCCAAGAGCTCAGGGRAAATGGGCACAGAGCTTCTCTGACSRAGCTGGYGATCACAGRTTGGTCAGTGGTGYAGYTTGGAGGRAGAGTGTTTGTTCTCAGCTTAACCTCAGGCTTTGGAGGAGGAGAGCGAGTGTTARGACAGGAGAAGCTTGGGGKACTCCATCCTGTYRGGGAGAGGGGACAAATATAACTTCCCACTCTTGGGACCTCAAAACATCTTGGGTGATTGCAGCAAGGACCACAAGGGCTGGCAGCCTTCCCCAGGAACATCCAACAGCTTTCCCCTCCTCTTCCTGCTCAGTCCTGACTTCTGCTTTCTTTGTCCTTGCCAGGCACGAGAAATGAAGAAGCAGCTCATTGACGACTTCCTTTCGCAGAATAAGTTCCTCATGGTGGCCAGACTCACCAGCCAGAGGCTGTTCCAGGAGCTGTGTCCCGTGAAGAAGTCTCACCGTCAGCGGAAGTAAGTGAACATGTCCCACTGTTTTGTTCCCCGAGGCTCTGGGGCTGCTCCTGGAATCACCTTTGGGTTGCTTCTGAGGGAAAAGAGCAGTGACTGCATCATGCTCGGTATCCACACTGTCAGAGAGGTTTCTGGCTCATGAGATTGTTCTGGCAGGAGGAAAGGGGTTGGTCATTCCCTCTCACYTCTAGACTGGCTCCTAATCCCCCATTTCATTGTGTTACCCAGGCACTGCGTGGTCTTGTTTACGGGGGAAGGAGAGAAGTTTGCTGAGGCTTATGAGGCCTTTTTGACTTTTGCTGTGGCCAACACAAAAGACACACTGAAGTTTGTGCACGTCTACAGTGACCGGCAGCCGGAATTTGCAGACGCCTTGCTGATGGATGACGAGAAGTATCGTGGAAGATCGGCTGTGAGGGTTTCCTTTKATTTTTTTAATCCCTTCTTTCAGCCTGTCATTTAATTGTACCTTGATCTGACACCTAATTCTGGCAGTGGTTTGAAATGAATCATCTGTGTAGAAAAGGAAAAAGCCCCTTCATCTCTGACATCTGCCATGCTTTTGGCTCACCCAGGTGGTCATTCTGGAGAGACGCAATAATGCAGGGAAGATCGCCTACAAAGCCTTGGAGGAGGCCTGGCAAGGCAGCAAAGAGGACAACTTCATCCTCTTGGATCTCCTGGACCAGCTGAGGACAGATCCTGGCCTTCTCTCATCAGAGACCGTCGTGTCAGACTTGAATGATGAGCTTGCTCCTGTAAGTGCACAGCCTTTCCAGGTGCCTGGTATCCATGTTACCTTTGTGGACAGTTACCAGGCATTATTTCTATTTTAAAATACCAAGGCAAGACTCTTACAAGATTTCTTGCTTACAGGAGGAAGCTCATGGAGCATTCTTGAATCTGTTGGGGCTCTGTACAGCAGTTTTGTCATTTGTTTTTTGCTTTTCATTCTTTTCAAACAGATATTCCTTATCCGATGGTTCTACTCCACGCTGGACTACATCTCAGATTGCTGGGACAGTTTGTTTCACAGTAACTGGTACGGATTGGGATCCATTGTTGGTTTCCACTGCTTCCCTGTCACCTTATTTTAAAACAGATCCAATTTTAGCCTTCTTTTATGTSGGAGCAGGACAGCACTTAAAAACATGGTAGTCTTTAAGACCCATGAAACAAGCTGAGTTTCTGGGGAAGGCACACAGTGTTATTTGAGGTAGGCASAAACTGAAATTCAGGCAGAAAATATGAACTCACAGACCTGACTGCTTCTTGCACATCTTCCCCTCAGGCGAGAAATGATGCCACTCCTRTCCTTGCTCTTCTCCGCGCTCTTCATTCTCTTTGGCACGGTTATTGTTCAGGCTTTCAGGTGAGTGCACACCAAAATGCCCTTGGGGATAGYTCCTCAGTCCAACCTAAGGCCTTAAACACACACAAAATCACCTTCCTCTGCAGTGATTCGAGCGACACAAGGGACTCTCCACCCTCGGGGAAAGAAGAAACCGCCACAAAGACAGAGAAGAACGATGCAAGCTTCAGCAAAGAGAGTAACAGGTTACCTCTCTAACTTTTCCAGAATGTTTTCTGTGAAAGCTTTGTTTGGGGAGCACCTGTTCAGGGAGGGTTAGTGAAGAGCAGAGAAGTGCTGAAGTTGCTGAGACATTGTGCAGTTGTTGYGTGGGGCTGTTGGCACAGTGAGGAAGGGAGGAGCAGTGCACACCCAGGACCCAGCCAGCAAGGACAGAGGGGCACTAATCTGCTTATTRAACAATTCCCACCAAATTTGCCCAAGACAGCATGCTCAGGGGGTGAGTAGAGGTCTGACCTACTCATGGAGGAAGATCCAAACCAGGCCATTGCACCATTTACACTGGCTTTGGCTGCAGAGCTCAGGGCTGGCCCAGTATAATGGGCTGGGGAATGCAGTCTCAGTGTCTCCATCCTCAGTCCCTCCCAGTCCCTCACTCCCCTTTCACCTGCTCATTGCTCTGTTGCAGCAGRATTCCCAAAAAGGGCTTTGTTGAGGTGACTGAGCTGACAGACATCAACTACACCAGTAACCTGGTGCGCCTGAGGCCGGGGCACATGAACGTCGTCTTGATCCTGTCCAACTCCACCAAAACCCCCCTGCTCCAGAAGTTCGCCCTGGAAGTCTACACATTCACAGGGTAGGCTGGGCCCTCTCCTGGGCTCCTGTTGCTGTGTTAACCACTTGTGTGACGCTGCTCTGGTGACAAGTGAGGAGTGGGGTTGGCTCCATAGCCAGGAGTGAATAGTTCTGGCGAACAAGGCGGCCTCTGCCCTCATCAGTGGCAATGAGCCACAGAAAACGGAGAGGCCATTCCCAGACCCAGAGGGGTTGGGTGCTGGTGCCACTTTGACTGCACCCMTGTTTTGACAAATAGAAAGCATGACAGTGCTGCATACACTGAGCTGAAAAAGGAACAGCGGCAATACAGCACTGCCCTGCCCCTGTTGGCAATTCCTTACCTATCCATAATCCAGCTGGACTCAAGACATGTGCTAATCCCACTGTCTTCTCTGCTCTTCCCCCAGGAGCAGCTCTCTTCACTTCTCCTTTCTCAGCCTGGACAAGCACCGAGAGTGGCTGGAGTATCTGCTGGAGTTTGCACAGGATGCAGCCCCCATCCCCAACCAGTATGACAAGCATTTCCTTGAGCGTGACTACACAGGCTACGTGCTGGCTCTGAATGGCCACAAGAARTACTTCTGCCTCTTTAAGCCTCACAGATCAGGGGATGAGGGGGGAACCCTGGGATCGTGCGAGGATTACGATGCTTTACAACACACGGAAGCCAAAGGGAAATCCTCCTGCAACTCGGAATCTAGGTCCATTAAAAACAAATTACACAAATTGTCCTTTTGGATGGAACGCCTTCTAGAGGGTTCCTTACAGAGGTTCTATATCCCCTCGTGGCCCACGCTAGACTGAGGGATTTTACAGAGATTCTAAGGGACAAACTTTTTATGAAGATGACAAGGGACAGCTCTTTGCAGGAATACTCAAACAAGTGTGATGAATGGACCTTAGGTTTCAGATGAACTCTCCTTGGGCCGGCAACCAGAACACACCTCCCACGTCCGGAGCCCGGGAGTGCAGCCAAGCGCACCCATGTGCCCTCCACCGCCCCGCTGTGCGCTGTGTTTGAACGCCGTACAAGCGACGAGCCAAGAAGTCTGTTTTGCCCTTCTCATCCTGCCACATCTGCTTCCTGAGTCGCCTTGTTCCATCTCTTGTTTTACCTCGGTTGAAGAAACCYGTGACTTCCCCGGGTCCGGAGCAGCCGTGGCCGGTGACGCAGGCCGGGTCGTGGTTCTCCTCCCCGTCCCCATGTGCTTAGCCCATGGTGCATGGTGTAACTCTGGCAAGACCCTGCAGACCCTCCAGGCCCTGCCCTTCCAAAAGGCATCCTYCCACCAGGCAGTGGTACTCTCTCGGCTTTCCCCGTGGTAAGTGATGCAGAATCCGGCCAGGAGCATCTCCCTGGTAGCAGACCTCAGCTGGGATTCCCCCTGGTGCAGGCTCATGGGTGATCTGCATGTTTCATGCTCCTCGTGTCATGGTTCCACCTGCAGCTTCACCGGCTGAACTGTAATAGGGAGGGAAAGGGTTTTGCACGGCCCTAAAATACTGTCCAAGTGTTGAGCCATTTAAATGTCACGTTGATTTTTCAGATGCCTTTTCTGCTTCTGTCGATTTTAGACGATGTATCCTAGAGCCATAACTTTACCTGCGTCCTCAGATTGTAGGCGTGAGCTGCTATGAGCCAGTAGATGTGTAAAAAACTCTATGTAGCTGCCAGGGAGTCACCCGGGCTCCTTGCAAACACCCTTCCAGCTGTAGTACAAACCAACCTTCCTTTGTATCGAGGAACCTCATCCTTCAACGATTGTATTCTTGAAATGTCRCCCCAGAAGTGCTGTGTCATCCGACCATCGCGTGTGTGTGAAGCTCCTTTGGTTTAGCGGGGGGTTTAGATGCCGGGTCTCAGCCCCTCGCCCGTTTCCTTCTTGCCCCAAACCTCCATTTCTCCACACTCAGGCTGCTCCCGTGGCTTTGTGTTTGTTTKCTTGGGTATTTCTTTTGTGCTCTGGAAGCGGTGGGGGTGTGTGAGGTTAGAGCAGCCRCACAGCGCAGGGTTTGGACAATGGTTTGCTGGTAGCAGTGCCCCRACAGCCGCTTCCAACTCCACAGGGAAAGGGGGTACCTGGGTAAGAAGGGAGGATGAGCAGCAGCTTCATGGCTGCTTAAACACCCCTTGAGTGAGCAAATGAGGCAGCAGGGCTTCTTTTTGTGGCCAGGAATGAAGGTTTTCATTKAGGTTTTTCTGTGAGTTTTTCACTGACACTGATCCATCCTTCCATGGATCTGGAGCCCTGTGGCTCCGTCAGGCTCTGGCACTGCCGAAGGGCAGGAATGGGGGCASGTGGCCTTTGCCACAGGGCTTGGAACACAGAGCACTTGGTGAACACGTGGTGTTAATTGCAAACTCAGCCCTTGCCACTTTAGGTACATGCTAGCAGAGCAACCAGTCAGTAGGAATTACTGCCAACCCCTGAGCCGGCTGCTGATCCCGTACAGAAGCCAGGACATTGCACTCCCTACATGCCCTAGTTTCTCCCAAAGCCTTGCCTTTGCATTCCTCCCCATCCTGGGAGCAGATTGGCATGCTCCACCCCCACAGGTACCTCAGACCCCAGTAAATTGTGCTTCAAATAAAGGCTGCCATGCTACAAACAGACCCTACGTTAGGTTAATTAATTCCAGCCCCATGGATTCGGGGCCATGGAATGAGGCACTAAAGTAGAGGGAAGGAAGGAAGGAAGGTGAGGTCTTCTCCCTGCCAGGAGCTCCTGTGAAGGTACACAGACGCCACTGAAAGAGCAGAGGGGGGATGGAACACCAGCCTGATGCTTCTAGACTTTTATTTCTACCTGGCTGGAGCCATCACCGCAGCACTCCTGCACTTCTCCCACAGCTTGCCACGCAGGATGTGGCTGGATTAGGTTTTAGCCTAGCAGAAGCTCCACATAACGTCTTAAATGAAGTATAATGCAGAAGTGTAATGCTCTCTGGGTCCTTGCTATCCCTTCAGCTGGTCAGAAACAAGGAGAAAACCCTCAACTCGTGAAAAAGAAGTGCCTAGTAATGCTACAGCAAGGGAATTCAGCCCTGCCCTGAGGAAGGGGAGAAGGCTTTATGGCCTTCAGATCAGTGTGTGCTGCACGCTGCCAGAATCCTTGGTTCTGTTTTGTTTTTAGCACAGGTAACCTCCCCTTTGGGCCAGACTGAGCTGAGGGAGCGCTTGCATCGGTCCACCCGTGCCAGCTGTCGTTGGACAGGAGCACAGCTCCTGGACTTTATGGAAACTTTTACCTGGGTTGAAGCAAAAGCCAAGCTGCTCTTCCCCCTGGTTTAGTTGGCTGCAGTGCCAGCGTGGCACTCTGGGTGTTTGCTGGCTCGAGACCACAGTCAGAGCTGCTTCTCCCGGGGTCTGCCCTCTCCCAGCAGCCATGAGCTGTCACCCCCCATCATCTCCTAACACCTGCGATTCTGTTGGGTGCGTGGTGGTTTGAAATCCAAAGATTGAGGGAATTGGGTCCTAGTGCACGTTCCTAGTGAGATCTGAGCGATGGCACGGTGCTCGGAGCTGAGGTGAAGGGGTACAGACCCCAGAGGGGAGGTTGTACCCAAACTCCTCCCTGCCCATCTCTGCCCTTCACCCACAGCATCCAGGAGCCAGGATACGAGCGCAGCCTGACCAGTAGGACTGAAAACTAGGTACCTATTTTGCACTTTTGATACTGGGAGGGGGGGAATTAACTTATTTGGCAAACTTGTCTTTTTCATTTTGGATTTTTTTTTTGTTCAGGTTTTTTTTTGTTTGTTTGTTTTTTGGTTTTTTTTGGTTTTGTATTTGTGAACAGGCACTGATGTCATTTTGTTTTAAGACAATTACAGGTTCGCAAACAAAATAAACTATTTTAATGTGGTGGCTCTGTGTCTCCATGTACAAACTAATCTCACCTCCATGTCCTCTCAAAAATTCCAGGAGCTTAAAATGCTCCTGCCATAGGAGGCTCTTGGTTATTTCACCAGCAAGAAATTTGGTCAGATATCTCCCTAACTGTCAGCAGGAACCCCAGGCCCCCTTCACAYCCTCCCTTCTTCGACATTCACTGTCCTGCTACCATATATTAATGGAACAAACCTTTTACTAGTGACAGTTTTTTCCAGAAGCCCTGTGAGATGGGTGAGTAATTCCAGAGGCAAAATGCCACTACCCTCATCTATCCTTTCCCAGGCCAACTCCAAAGCTCCCAACCCCAGTTAAATGGGGTGTCCATCCTGTTCCCTACTGTTTTTCAGCTTATAAGTACCTTTTCTAGTGGTCAATGCCGTTTATTTCGTGCTGCAAAGCCCATGCTGGCTGCAGCCCCCTGAAGGGAAGGGGACATGAAAGCCTGGCTGAAGACACAGAGCAGCATCTCCCCTGGGCAGGTGGGAACTGCACTCACAGTGTCTTCACTCCTGGGAGAACACACAGCATCTCAAACAGTAGGTTTGCCCCCAGGAGGGCTGTGTTGCCTRAAAAATAAGACAAGAAAGGATAAAAGGTCTGTGTATATCCCATGGTTTTCACCCCCAGCCACCTGTGCCAGGCATGTATCTGCCCTCCAACATCYTCAGACTCACCAGAGATGTCGTACATCGGTGCCACTTCCACGAGGTCACACCCCACTATGTTCAGGCCTTTGCAGCCACGAATAATCTCCAAAGCCTAGGGGAAGAATGGATTTGGGATCAAGAAACATATCTGATCCAGCTGACTGGCCGGGGCTCTGCTTTGCTCATTTTCCAATGAGGAAACCCAATCTCTACAGGCCAAATCATATCAGTCCCACATTTCCCTTCCTCATCACTACRAAGAAACACTTCCTGGCCTCTGTAAACTTTGCTGTGCTGGTGGCACAACCTCYTTTAAAGGGAACAAAACATCCCCTTCCCCCGGGAAAGGCAGCGGTGTCGCCCTCACCTGCGCGGGGGTGAGCCCAGCGATCTCCGGGGTGCCGGTGCCCGGGGCGTAGGCGGGGTCCAGCCCATCGATATCGAAGCTGATGTATATTGGTTTGTCCCCCATCTGCGCCCTCACCTCCCYCATCAGCGGCTCCAGGGATTTCATCCAGCACTGCTCAGCCGGGACCACCCGGAAACCCTGTGGGAACGCAGACACTGAGGGAAGGGGGAAAAGAGGAGCATCCGCCGCCCTCCAGCGCTGCTCAGCCAGGACCGCCCGGAAACCCTGCGGGAACGCAGACACTGAGGGAAAGGGGGAAAAGAGGAGCATCCCCCGCCCTCCAGCGCTGCTCAGGCGGGACCGCCCAGAAACCCTGCGGGAACGCAGACACTGAGGGAAAGGGGGAAAAGAGGAGCATCCCCCGCCCTCCAGCGCTGCTCAGCCAGGACCGCCCGGAAACCCTGCGGGAACGCAGACACATGGGGACTCACTCAGGGAAAGGGGGAGAAGAGGAGCATCCCCTGCCCTGCTGGGGAATATCTATCAGGAACGATCCTCATTGCAGGGCAAAGCTGCAGAAATAYACCTGGAAACACTTCCCACTCCCCACACACACTTTATTACTCTCGGCTGATGCTCAGTGAGCTGGGAGTGCTGTCCTGAAGGACAAGCCGCTGGCAATGGGACAAGAGGCAAAAGATGCGTTTATTCCCCTGCTGAAGCCAAGCAAATATTACTGATGTGATATTTATGGCAGAGCGAGCTGCAGATCAGTTTACCTGTTCCCGGCAGTACTGGTAGGGATCGGGGTCATAGGAGGAGCCTCGGATGCCGATCTGCACSACGCGGCCGCGGTCCAGCAGCCCTTCCTCGGCGCAGCGCCGGAACGGGGCCCCGTGGTAGATGCGCTCCCCCAGGGCCGTGTCTCCAGTGTCGGTGTGAGCATCCACGTGTACCAGCCCCACGGGACCGTGCCTGGCCGAGACAAGATGACCACGTTAATGCTGTCTTGGGCACGATGGCCCTGCCTACAGCAGGAACAGCACACCAGGAGCYTTCCTGAGGCTCTTTCCCAGGTCCTTTCTCTCCATCTCCAACTAGAAACTTACTTTGCTGCCAGGGCCTGCAGGATTGGGTACGTTATGGTGTGATCTCCACCTGCAAGAGGACACAGGGGAGAGGGGGAACACACTACAAGAGCTGCTCAGCGCTCATTACCTTTGTTCCCAAGTCATTTTCCCCCTTTTGCATTTATCCTGYACTTATTTATGCACACCAGGGCTTAATTGCTAAAGGAAAACTAACACTCCAAGGTGCAGGTTGCTTTCTCTCTCCTCTTCTGGATCCTCTCTCCTCCTGCACTTCCTTCTAGGGAGAGACCAGAAATGCAGGACTGCCAGCAGGGACAGCCTGTGGAGCAGGACCCTTTATTTGGCTTATAAATAGRCACTTGATCTGCTTCTGAGGATGCTGTCACTGGTGACTTGGCCCTTGTTACTCCACACACTTATTTCCTTCAGCAATGCCAAGCTGTGACAGCTGCAAACTTGAATGTGCATCCAGAMCAGGCCTTGTGCAAAGCCTGGCACTCACTCAGCTGGAGGGACACAAGGGACAAAACCTGCTCTTGCTTTGGGTCCTGCTCAACAGGACACCAAAACCACATCTGGCTGTATTTACAGATTGACCCAACCTCTTCATTTTTGACCCAAAGCAAGAGGCATCACAGAGGATTTTGTTCAGTGGAAGGCCTGTGAATTACCCACGTACASCACAACAGTCCTTGCAGGGGCTGGATTCATCACTTGCCTTCTGCCGTGAGTGGATTGAATGATGTGAGGAGGAGGAGAGGGAGTTTGACAGGGCCAGGATGTGATGGCAGGACAGGGGCACACGGTCTCCTTACCCAGGGTGAGGGGCACACAGCCAGAGGCCACGATGCCCTGGTAGGACTCGCGGATGAGGCGGCAGCTGTCGGGCAGGTTGTAGAGATTGACGTTGACGTCCCCGATGTCRGCCACGCGCAGGGAGTCGAACGGCGCCGCGCCGGTGCTGCTGTTGTACCTCCTCACCATGGCAGACTCAGCACGGATCTGCCGTGGGCCAAATCTGCGAGACRGCGTGGCTGGGAAGGGCTGCTGGCYGTCATTCCAGCACTCCTCTCACCACAGGACAGCCGTGAGAGGGAAGCAGCAGCTCCCCTGGCCGGCCCTTACCTGGCTCCCGGCCGGTTGGACGTGCCCGTGTCCAGYGGAACACCGACAAACGCTGCGTCCAGTCCCTCCGCCGACGCCTGCACCGGGAGCCGCATCATGGAGCAGATCCCCACGGGCCGGGCCACGAGCAGGGCACTGGGGGGCACGTTGAACTGCGAGCTCCAGCGGCGGGGGGCTCTGCTCCCTGCGACCAGGGGCTGGAGGAACCCTGCAGACACACTGGGTGGGGAGCTGGAGGCGGCCTGAGGAGCCTGGGGATGCAGGCCATGGTGTGAGGTGGTCACCACAGCAGTCACAGCTGGCTTGGGAGCGCAGAGTCCAGSTCCCCGGGGCAGCAGCTGGCTGCAGGCAGTCCAGAGCAGGGGCCTCATCCTGACCCACGCGGTGCCACCCTCTGTCCCCCAGGAAACGCAGCAAGGGGTGCTGTGGAGCCCGCTCCCAGCTCGGGCAGAGTGCCAGCTGCCTCTGCCAAGCCTCCCTCCAGCGATCAAAGTGCAGCCGGACACTCCACTGCCTGGGGAAGGGCAGAAATGCAGCCCAACCTCCACGTTCACCCTYCCAGCCACCCCCTTTCCCAATGGCATAATCCTGGCAAACACTGGGAGCAAACACAGCAGCGAGGAGCAAGAGCCTCCGCAGGGATTAGCRGCACAGGGCAGGAGGGACATGCTGAGAGATGCTCCAGTTTGCTCCCCTTGGGCATTTTCAGACAGACAGCACRGCAGCATTTTGTTGCATTAACAGCTTGTACTTTTAACCTGCACTTTACAAAAGCACCCAGAATGCTGAAGAATCATAAAAACGTCTTGTTAGCGGAAGGCAGAAGAGAACTAAAACAAAAGGAAAGTCTGACCTCAGCAGAACCATGGGGGGACAAAATGCAAGCACAGGGGAAGCATTAACAGGGATTTAAGGACCAGAGGGATGAGCTGCAAGACAAGCATTTTAGGCCATTTTTGAGGACTGAGATGACAGTTTCCAGGGGAAGCAAGTTTCCAAYGGGTGGAGTTCATCAGCACAGACAAAACCCTGGCTGGGCAAACACTAACACACTTGATACTGGATGGCTCCAGCTCCTAATTCTGCTCTACTGGTGTAGAGACTGGACCTGAGAGAGGAAAATGCACAGGAATGATGTTCATGGCAGAAAGAGAGCTCAGGGTAGAGATCTACCACACAGCAACAGGATTTACTCCTCAAAAGGCTCCAGAGTGTCCCAGGGCACAGGACTCACTGCCAGACCCAGGCAYACACACAAGCACAGGCAGCAGAAAAAACACACTGGAAGAACTCAGTAATGTAAGAAACAGCAGCACACTTTGGTTGGGGCAGATCAATGTTACAAAGGTCTGCTTTTTGCAACTTTTTCCCCTGATTCCCCAGGCTCTGTGCTCTTCGTTGCACTGGAATGACGTGCAGAATCCTGAAAGCAGGTTATCCTGTGATGATGAGGGATATCAGCCGTTCTCATCCACCTGGAAACTGCAGGAGCAGCCAGTGATTTACCACGCAGGAGAGTACAAAACACATCCCCAAGGCAAGGTCTGTTCCTCTTCGGGAAATTCCACTTAAACACTGTGTTCCAGAGTGAGCACTGAAAGAGCTGAATTCGCATTTAAGACACCCCGGAACCACCACTCCACAGCCCAAATTGGATTGAGAGAATCCACACAGCCACAGAGCTTAATCTTTAATTTATTGTGCAACAAGCATAAATAACTTWCTGCTCTAAACACAATTACAGCCACAAAATCGAATGATGTTTCATAAACATGGCTGTTGYTATTTCAAGATTGATGTCTCCCATCCTCCCCCCAAAGGATATAATTTCATTGAAGGAAACACAGGCAGGTAAAAGAGCAGAGCATCACACTAAGCTCTTTAAGCGGGTGCTGCTGCCCAGCCTCATTTTGTTTGGAGCATTATCCCTAACTGGAGAGTCTGACTCAGCCTTGGACCCTGGGGCAGCCGCCACCACACAGCTACAACAGTTAAGAACAAAGACAAGCAGGATTTGAGGACKATGTGCTTCCACTATTCTGCGTACAACTGCGAGGGGTTTAGTGCTGCTGACGCTCGTGTTACCAGGCAGCACTTCACCAGGATGTTTTCAGGCTGTCATTTCACAGCTCAGAGGAATAGGAGTTTCAGATCACCCGTTACCCCAAGAACAGAGACTGCAGGTCCCTCTGTCAGCTCGGATTTCTGTGTGCCGTTTAAATTGTGATGTTTCCATGTAAAAAGCATCCAGACAGTGTCTCCTCCCAGCCACCCCTCTGAAAGGAACCTTGCTCCACTCCACGCACAACCTACGAGTCAATTCCCAAACCGGAGCAAAACCAACCACGTACCTCAGGACACCTGCAAGGTCCACACACCCTCCCACCCAGAGCGTAASGAAGCAAGGGCATCTCCTCTAGCAGGGGCAGAAAAGCAGCATGGTTAACACTTGCTAGAGAGAAACTCAAGCTCCTAAACACACACCTGCAGCTYGCTCCCTAAAGCACTACAGGACTCCAGGCAGACAGAAAGGACAGGTTCCTATGTGCCTTTACAAGTGCCATTTATGTGGGATGCTCGTGTTCCAGGTGGTTCCTTCACCCAGAGTGGCTTCTCCAGGCCAGCAACAGGAATATTGCTGCCCAGAGGTCTTCAAACTCGAGGTTTGCCAAGAAGCACATCTTCATTTTGGTTTCTACCTGGCTCTTCTCCACCAGCCTGTTGGTGAGCAGGGTGGCTGCAGACTGGCAGAGCAGCCAGGCAATCATCTGGTCGGGTTTCAGGGTCCTGGATGCTACAACACTGTCACCCCAGAGGCTCAGGTGCAGCACGTTCGCAGCAACTCTYGCAGACAACCTCTGCAAGAGGAAGGGGAGAGACATTAGCTGATCCTGCTGCACTCAGCCACATCACYAGCAYGGARCATTKGCACCTCCAAAACTSCCTGGGCCTCCCCTGAGGCACCACCCTGTGAATTCAAAAGCTCTTTAAGACTATTACTGTATAGATATAATGCTGTGTGTAACCCTCCAATGTGAGATCCAGTCCCGACACAAACATCTCCTGAAATGATTCAGCACCAATCAGCAAAGTCGTTTTTTTGGCTTTGATCCTTATGTTGCCCTTTGGTCCTGCAGTGAGATCTGAATTAACTCCTGCACCCACAGCCCTCCAAGGCAAAACAATCCACCAGGGACACTCCCAAAGAGGTATCTCGAAGGCAAGAGCTCCTTACCTTGTTGGGATCCCTCTGAAGCAGCATYTTTATCACCTGCTTCACCTCCAGGGGCACGTGGTCGGGCAGGCTCGGCAGCTGCTCCTCCTGGTAACTTCTGCTTTCCAGAGTCGAGTCCCCGTGGCCATAGAAAGGATTGGCCAGGCCCAGGATTTCGTAGGCAATCGCTCCAACAGCCCAAGCATCAGCTTTGCTGTAGTTGATCACCGTGCCCGGGCCAGGTGACGCTGTGATCACCTGCCACAGAGAGGGGGATACTCAAATAAACAGCTGAGTGCAGCCTCTGTGCTGAAATTCGATTTTCAAAGCTCAAATCAGTGTTTTCCCTCTAATAAACTTAGAGACACTGAAATCAATGGTGGGTTTYATCTGAATGTGTGTGTAAATTTCCCTGTAGGCATGCTCTCACCCTCTGGCACTGCTCAGCCCACTGGGATGCTGGGAGGAGTTTGGACATTGCACTAAGGCTTGAGCCATTGCCCCTGGCCAGCATTTCCAGAGTCCCAAGGGCTATCTCCTGCTGCAATTATGGAGACAGGAGACCTGCAGATGAGCARCCAACACCAGGGCAAGGTGCTCCAGGTCCAGCAGATGGTTAAGTGTGCCTTGGCTTTTATTAGGCTTATCACCAGAGATAYAATAAGGAACTGTAAATAATTTCACAACTGCCTTGAACTTCAGCCAAAATCCACTGTTGCAACACAAGGACTGCTGCATAAAATTCTTGGTAGTTACATAAAAAGGGGCCTGACTGAAGACTGAAGAGTAAATTTGCGGGGAAAAAGCTGATTCTGCCTCTTAACACCAAGTGATTACATTTCACCTGTTAGAGCTCAAGATGTCTGTTTGACATAGCTCAGCAGAGACGTTCACCAAGATGAACTCAAGGTAGGACACAAACCTATACCACCAAAACTTTTAATGCTAGCAGCAGGACAAGCAGAAAACCAGCACCACAAAGCACTGCTACARGGGGATTTACCTCAGGGGCCATAAGGCAGCCGTTGCCACCCCGATCCACGTAGCAGCTGGTGAAGGGCAGCCTCAGGCCGATGTTTTCATCTGCCAAACAGCAGCCAAAGTCGGTGATGACCAGCCAGGGGCAGCCAGCTGTGAACAACACAGGGCTGCCAGAGTTAGGGTTCAGTTTGGGAGGACCTGGCTGCACCAAACACCACATCACATCAATACCCAGCTTGGTGCCCTCTGCAAAMTGCCTTAGGGGGCAGCCGATCCCCTCATCAATAGTAGTGGTAAAGATAYCCAGTAGAGTAACCTGGTCTAGTGGGAGCTGTCCCTGYCCATGGCAGGGGGTTGGAATGGAGAGGGGCTTTAAGGTCCCTTCTAACCMAGGCTATTCTATGATTTTATTATTTTAAATCCTGAGCCCTGGGGAACAGAGAATCCTCCATATCATCTGCCTCTTGGGCCTGTCTCCTGGAAGGCAGGGTGCATTCCAGTAGTCTGTCTCTCTTGCTGATATTCTTTAACCAAATTTTTCTACTTCTAATTACACAGACCTGCCTGCTATTGCTTCCTGCCCATTTAAATCTCCATCACACCAAAAAAAAGAGCTCAGGCAATTAAAATCTCTGTTAGAGGTTACAGGAGAACACATCAATGAAAACACTGCATCCATTCCCTTCCTTTCCAGCCCATGTTTCATCATCCCAGGGTGCAGCACTGTTAACCCGGCCCTGGGGTGGGATTTTAAAAGGTTCCCTGTGCTCTTTGACTTGGGAGAGGTGACAAAGCCAAGAGCCTGAAGCAAACACTCCTGCAGCATCCCAAATGTGGCATTCCCAGATATTCCAGTCAGCGTTAGCTGGGCTCATGCAATGCTTCACCTCAGCAATACACTGTGTCCATGTTAATGATCCAAAACCTCAGGTACAGAGAGGATCAATGACTCTCTGCAGTGATAGCAAATACCAAGCTAAAAAACCTGAGATTATTCAAAAGATTTGGTGCTTCTTTCCCCAAACACACAGCTGAATGAGACTTCCCCAAGTACCTACGTGACCGAATCACTTCTATGAATTAACTGGCACTTATCCTYGGGGATCTACGTACCAGCATCAAATTCAACCAGGATGTTGTCAGACTTGAGGTCTCTGTGTGCTATTCCATGTCGAACAAGATGGTCCACGCCTTCCAGGAGCTGCAGAATCATCACTGTGGAGAGGCGAACATCCGGAGTGTTCTCCTGCAGATACTGGCGCAGCGTGCAGGGGTAACTAGGCAGAACAGAAAAAAATGGGAATTAGCATCCTAGAGACTTATTACTGGCAGCTCAGCCTCAGTGCTGGCTCATTTCATTACTGATTCTACTCCATCTCTAGCAGCGTGCTCAGACTAGGGGTGAAGTTCAGGCTTAGAAGGGCAGACAAATGGGGACAAACTCCACATTTCTCAYTTTAATTTGGGGTAATTATTAAAAAGAACAGTTTGTCTTCATCGTGGAATCACAGTTAGAATCTCAAGGACTTGGAACAGGTCCTGGGAGGCATTTCCAAGAGCATACTCTGCTCTCTGGCAGCAGCCCAGGCCCAAGCTCTGCAGGGACAGAGTACCCAAGTCACGTTAACCAGCTTCTCTCCACCTACTTCTTCATCACCAAGAAGAGTGTGCGGCTGTGACCAATCCCTCTGGGGTTCAGGCTCAATGGAAGGACATCAGGATAGTCAGCAAAGGCCCCAGGCAGCAAAGGGACAGAGGATGTGAATGCTCGGATCACCTGGATTATATTTGGATGAGGTTGCAGCTTCTTCCTCCCAAGGACAGGTTTTCTGTGCAAAAGAGAGATTGCATCAGTCCCTCAGTCAGTTCTGATGAATCACAAACATGTCATTGTTATTGCTGGGATTGCTTTTCATTAATGAATCCTGTCCTCCCCACCAAAGGGTTCCCCAGCAGTGAGCAAACAGGTTTGTTCTGCACTGGAAGCCTCATTAGAGGGAGATTAAAG